GCAAACCGATTGTCGACAGAGGTGTGTAAGCTCATGAATTGCGCGGGGCTTCCGGCGCCATAGGCTTAAACCCCCTAAACCCCTGAGCCCTAACCCCTAAACCCTAAACCCCTAAACCCCCGAACCCTAAACGCCTAAGCCCTAAACCTTGAGCCCGCAGCTCCTAAGCTCTAAACCTAAAGGCTGCCTGTGCTGTGCTTAGACAACAGTAGTCATAAAAAGGCCCAACACAGCCGCAACCAGGACGGCAATGGGACCCCGCCCAAAGGAACCCCCCCCCAAAGAAGCAAAAACACAGAGAGCAAATTACCAGCTTTTGTGTTGCGGAGCCGTTTACGCAGGCTGCAAAGCCGTACCCGAATTTTTTGTACCAAGCCTACAAAGCAAATGGTGTTTAGGTGGAAATGCATGAAGTATGGAGTTTCAACCAGCACTCCCACAAGCAGCTGTAGTCATGTATTTCTGCTCTCTCTCTAAGGTTTTCGCGGTACCCGACCCCAAGCGTACGACCCTGCAGGCCGATAACAGAGTCTTTCAACTGAAGACAAACAGGACAAACAGGACCAATATCCCACAAGATTTCCAACAGAAGTCTTATACATTCGATGGGGGGCAAGATGTACAGCTGATTGGAAACCCCTGAGCCTCACACAGCGGCACTTTCCACGATGACCACGTCCATTTCTGTTGCTCTTCTGAGCGGGAGGTCGGCGGACATCGAAGTGGAGGAAGGCTCGTCGCTGGAAGAAGTGCAACGGCGGGCGCAGCAGATGTTGGGCGTCAGGGGCAGGTTGATGGCAAGCGATGGAGCTCCTTTGAAGGGTACGGGTACAGTTCTTCAAGCTGGGGTCTCAGACGGCGATTCCCTTACCTTGTTGGTTCCTTCTCTGCGTATCCTAGCTGGCTCATCAAGTGCATTTGCAGGCGTTCTGAGTGACGACAGTCTAGTGGTTTGGGGGGAGGAGGCGCCTGGTGACACATCTTTTGGAAGACAGATAAAGAACGTGCAGCAGGTAGCTGCCACAAGCGAGGCGTTCGCGGCCCTCTTGTGGGATGGGTCAGTGGTGACCTGGGGTTCTCGAAAGTGCGGAGGAGATAGCTCTGCCGTCAAAGAAGAACTTCGAAATGTGCAACACATCATCGGTACCAGGTGCGCTTACGAAGATTACGGGGATGAATGGACAAACGATGGAGCGTTTGCTGCCATCCTCGCCGATGGGTCCGTGGTAACCTGGGGCAGCCCAGCGTGTGGCGGCGACAGCAGCTCTGTCCAACATCAACTGAAAGGCGTGAAGCACATTGCCACCACAGCTCGGTCCTTTGCAGCGCTTCTGCAAGATGGTTCAGTGGTCACTTGGGGCAGTCATCCTCTTGGTGGTGATAGCTCCGCCGTGCAAGCACAGCTCTGCCATGTGCAGCAGATTCACGGTTCTGACGGGGCTTTTGCAGCCATCAAGGATGATGGATCTGTGGTAACCTGGGGCAGTGGAAACCATGGTGCCTGGAGCTGTGATGTTGAAAACCAGTTGAGAGATGTACGACACATCGAAGCCACATCTGGGGCCTTTGCAGCACTCCTGCAGAGTGAATCCGTTGTAACCTGGGGTGCTAAGAACTGCGGTGGTGATAGTCGAGCAGTTCAAGCGCAGCTCCAAACAGTGCATTTCCTTGCAGCTACCTTGGGTCGCGGAGAAATAATCGGAGCTGATGAAGACGGAGCCTTTGCTGCTATCCTCGGCGATGGGTCTGTGGTAACCTGGGGCAGCCCAGCGTGTGGCGGCGACAGCAGCTCTGTCCAACACCAACTGAAAGGCGTGAAGCACGTTGCCGCCACAGCTCGGTCCTTTGCAGCGCTTCTGCAAGATAGTTCAGTGGTCACTTGGGGTAATGACCGTTTTGGTGGTGATAGCAGCAGAGTCCAGGACCAGCTGCATGACGTGCAGGAGCTTCATGGCAACGAAAATCTGTTCACTGTCTTGCGGAGCGATGGTTCCATCATTTGCTGGGGTGATGAGTTCTGGGACAAACTCGATTATGACGACCTCTTGGAAGAAGAGTGACAACATCCGCCAGAGCTTCAATGCATCACAAACTGATGGAAGACTATGGCTTTGATTTCCGGCTCGCTGGGAAAGTGAAGCGGGGGGTTGGGAGTACCCCATAACAGTACCTAGCACCCTTTGGGTAAGTACCCATTATGAAGGACGATAAAGGCCCCTGATGGGTCCTGGCTAGACCCGCCTTATGAAGACATCCTTTGAATACGCAATGTCAGAAGGCGTCCTGCGTGGACATAAGGTCAAGAAAACCTTGCCAAATCCTCAAAACCCTTCTCAGAGCCTTGAATGGGCCATGAACCATCCTATAGAACGCACCGAAAGCAGCCCAATATTCTCAACCGTATAAAGCCCGTACATAACCGTCTAGAAACCCCATAATAAGCCAAAACCAACAGCCCTAAACCCTAAAATCCTAAACCCTGAACCAAAAAAAACAGCTCCTGTGGGAATCCAAGGAGGAGGCTCTGCAAGGAGGGCCTTCTCAGAGTCTTAGACCAAGAGGCCGCTGGAAAGGGAAGTGTTCCGATTTTGTCTGAAGCGCTCGTAGGATTTAGGGTTTAGGGTTTAGGGTTTATAGGGTTTAGGGTGAGGGTTTAGGGTTAGGGTTTAGGGCTTAGGGGAGGCTATTAAGGGCGACTATTCTACATGCTTGGGGGGGGGTCCAGAACTGGTAAGTTGATGAATGCCGTTTTCACTGGGGCTCCAAATGGGGGTTTCCGAAAATACGGGACCCTAATATAGTACCGTAAATAGTAGGATCCTTATTGTACGGACCCCCAAAATAAGGCACCCCCTAATTTTCGGAAACTCCCAAATAGCCGTAGGTAGGTACGGCGCATCGCCTTTGGGCCCAAGAGTAGGTGCTGTTTGTCTGCTTGGAGCCCGCGGGTTAGGGTTGAGGGTTTGAGGTGTGGGGGCGTTTATTCTGTGATTTATTTGAAATTTTTCTTGAACAAGACAGGTTTTGTGAAGGTGTGTTGGGCTTATAGGGTTTAAGGTTGTAGGGTTCAGGGTTAGGTTAGGGCTTATAGGGTGTGGGGGTTCAGGGGCGTGGGTGTTTGTGGCTAGAGGGCCGGGAAAGAGCCGGATAGCTACTGAAGGCGGAATATAGCTTGAAGCGCTCTCAAACAGTATCTGGGCGGGTCTCTAGATTAGGGTCCCTTTTTAGGGTCCTTCTTGTATAAGGATTCCTGGATTCCTTTTTTGTGGGGGGGGACTTAAAGAAGGACTCTAATTCAGAGAACTACCCATATACTTTGGCCTGAAAAATCGTCCCCATATGGTTGCTTTAGGGCCAAAGTATATAGTTTTCGGTACATGAACCCTCAACCGCAGGGATTCTCTGTGACTGGAAGTAGGTGTATATACCCACGGTTGATGATATAAATCCTGCATTACCCATAATAAGGAATATACGATAATTCCCATAGTTTAGGGTCCTTAAGGTAATGCAGGGATTATATCATCAACAGTAGTAAGAAGTATCGGTCTCTGTAGGTTCGAAGTTTTGGGGATCTCAGATTTCCGGTGCTTTGTAAGGGCCCAAAGCAGCATGGAGCTCTCTATCTCCGGGTTTTGCAGTGAGCCCGTTGTCCTGCTTTGTGGCCTTAGGTTCCTTAAAGACATCACCGATACCAAGACGGGACTTACCGTAAACCCTAAACCCTAAACCCCTAAACCCTAAAGTATTCTTAGATTCTTGGGAATCCTAGATCTTATCTTGTGTAAGAGCATGACCAGGTTTTCTGTGCAAGTGTATAGGAATGCAACGACCAGGGATGGAAGAGCTGGGGGCTAAGGCTAAGGTGTAGTGTTGCAGAGTCTAGGAGTGTGGTGTTTTTGGAGGATTCGAGGTTTGAAAGCTTTTCGGGGTTTAGACGGTCTGCAGAGTTTTTGTTGCAGGGTGTTGTGAGTGGTTGAAGGATGACTGTTGTTATGCCCACCACCACCACTACCACCGGCAAGCACACCCTGACCCCGTGGGCTTTGGTTCAAAATCAGGATCGGGGTTTTGGTTTGGTGGTAGCTCTACTTCGGGAGTCGTTCTGTTTCCCTGCGCCTAACTACTCATGCTGTGGAAGCCCAACATGGAACCCTCTTCGTTTCTGAATATACTAATATACTTTACTTCACTCTCCCAAACTGAACCGTTTCAATTACATGCAAGGTCTTGATAACCGTACATTGAGTTCACCCTGCTGGCCGTAGCACTAATTTAGGGGTCGGAATACCTAGTACTCAGATCCCCTCTACGTAGCCTCTGTTACAGTTACCCATAGGCCCCTAAGTAGTTCCTTTTTATAGTTTATATTTAGAATCCTATAAGGTAATCCCAAAAAGGGAACTAGTCGCAACGCCCCCATTAGCATTCGCCAGATCGCCGCTCATTCCGATACTGGCCACTCGGAAAAGAGGAGAGGTTAAGGTTTCGGGGTTAGCTTCTCTGGGTTTATGGTTTAGGGCTTTGTGCGTAGGACCTTTATGTACAGTGTGTGGATTGCTTTTGGGGCCTTTAGACTGAGCCACAAAACTGCAAAAAACCGTGAAAAACCGTATAAACGGTATAAAGCTTTTACGGTTTATTCGGT